GTAGGACACAAGGGGAGGAGGAGTGATTGGAAAGCTTTGAGTGGTTAAAAAAGGGCACCCATATAGTTGATCAAATGGGCTAAGGCCTGAGGGGGCTCTTGGAGCTATCTGAATTCAGGTGAGGGCCAACAGTAGAAAATTGGGCCAGAAGAGCCTGAGTTCAAGCAAGTTTAGTGAGATGATCCTTGAGAATGCTCTTAGGCCTCTCAAATTTACCCAAGGACTGGGGTTGGTGAGAGATGTGGAGCCTCTAAGTGATGTTGAGGCCTTTGGAGACTAGTTGAAAACTTGAGAAGTGAAGGTGGGACTGTTGTCTGACTGGATGGAGGTGGGAAGTCTTAACCTGGGAATGATCTCCTCAATGAGGATGAAAGCAAGTGTCAGCAATTTCCCTGAATGTAGGGAAAGCATCTATCCAACCTGAAAAAGTATCAACCAAAGTAAGTAGGTAGTGAAGCTATTTGTGCCTAGGCATGTGAGTGAAGTTGATCTACCAGTCTGCATGGCTAGTGGCTCCTCATCTGACGTGTGGGGAGTTTAGGTTTGTTGCTTCCTTGTGGGGATACTGTAGAGCAGACTTAACAAGCAGAATGGACTTGCTGGACAGTAGTTCTCATTCCTAGGATGTGAAAGAGGGGTTGTGAAAACTGGAAAAAGGGGTTAGAGAGAGTTTTAGATAGGCACAGAGTCTCTGGAGTTAGAGGAGTTGGTCATGATGTTACCGCTGTTTACCGATGACGAGTTCTTGCTTCCCCAATGTTAAAGAATAACACCAAAAAAGCACGCCGAGGCAAGGTCAGAGTAGAAATTAGAAGTTTATTAAAGGACAGCAGAAAAGACTTCTCCTGGAGGAAGAAGGGGACCGAAGAGGTGGAATCCGTGGAAGTGAAGTTGTTTCCCCTTTTTATAGTTTTGGTGATGGAATGTAGGTTGGAAGGCCCGAGGGGTGGAACACAGGTGGGCCAAAGAAGTAATCTGGTCAGGAAGGACTTCATTATCACTTCTTTGGGATGAACTTTGGCCTAGGGCCTTTTCAAGAACTTCATTAATATTCTATGTGTTGTCCTAAGTTTCCCTGAGTCATTCCCAGCATGGCCTTCATTTTAGATTTCACTGGATATTAGACCCGATTTACCTAACTACACTAACTACCTAACTTTAAATCTGGCTTCATTCCCCTCTCTAATTTGGGAACTCCTTACTGCTGTAAGGAAAGTGGACAAAGAAGATCTTTCTGTCTTCTTCAGGCTGACAAAAGGGGCGATGTTGGGGTAAGCAGTTTGGAGTCCCCTTTTAAAATCGGGTATATCTAGTGGTCCATGATAGAAGTCCGATTGAGAAGTAATAGACTGGAGGGCCATTTGAGTTATGGGTGGTCTATAAGAGAAACAAGAATTCATTAGTACTGGAACCAGATTGATGCAGCAATAAATCCCATAGCACAGGAATATGCCAATGAGTATGATGGCAAAGTCAAAGACTAACAATGTTTTCCACCAGGAAGTACCAAGAACCAGGAGCTAGGATATTGTTTCCATGACAAAATTGCTGAGTACATGGCTTCTATCTGAGCATGTAAACCTTTAAGGATATTTGTCACATTGCCAGAAATGTCAGGGATGCAAACACAACATTTAACTTTTAGGGTTACAGATGTCCTTTCCCTTAAGATATAGTTTAATAATTTAATGTCATCTGATCTTGCAAAATTCTTTTACTAGTATGACCTGTGTCTAATAGAGAAATCTTTAATTCTTTAAGCCATTTATAAGAAAACTACAAGATAAGATTATCAAGAGTAAAAACATTTAGTTCATATAATAGCTACCTTGAATTCTGGCAGAGTTATACATTATAATCCCCTGTTTGAGATCCTGG